TACCCCACTGAGACCTCACACTGCAATCCCACTGCTAACCTTGAACAGCGCTTCCAGATGCGCCGCTAATTTCTGCCTGCATATCTGCACATGCATGCTCCAAGAGACTTCTGCCAATACCTCCAACCTCGACTCCGACAGAAACCCATCTGTCTTCTGACACAGTCAACCTCTGTCACATCATCCAGAATTCCCAGGAGATTTTCCACCTCATTTCTTCACCCTGACTCTCTTGTCTGCCTAACTTCCTTGCTCCAACTCTCATCAATGTTTCTCAGATGTCTGCTTATGTTGGCCACCTTATCTTTGTCAGGGCCCAGCCTCGGACTTGGAGGCTCCCTGACCTCAACCCCCATCTGACCTGTCCTCACACTATGCGGGGCATGAGATGTATAGTAAAAGGAAATAGAATATGTACACTTGCCTATGCAGGGCATGAGATGAGAAGAAGGGTAAAGGTCTCATCTCCCCGCATGGTTGCTATATAAAGGAATGAGTCACATGCCCACAACTATACAGCTCCTAGGGTTGTGTAGTGTGACCTGGAGGGAACATCCAGGTGGCAGTGCCCAGTAAGTGTGGGAACATTCTGGGCGAGCTGCTTGCTCAGAAAGTTCCCACACTATCCTGTGCGTGCAGATACACAACACAGAAAGGCAACAACAAGGCAACAGTGAAGGAATGGAAGGAAGGGAGTGGTTGGGGAGTCTGGGGCACCCTAGGGCAGGGTGCTGAACCCTGACAATCTTCCAGTCACATTATCCAGAATTCCCTGCAGATTTTCCACATCAACTGTACCGGTTTGAACTCCATCCTTGGCATCAGCTGGATCCACACACTTTCTGAGAGATTTGGCATTGTGTGGTGCCAGGAAACTTGTCGAAGACATGCTGAAAAACAGATTTGGATCTGGTCCAAAAAGGTACATACCCTGACTTAGCCCGGACCTGGACCCACGTCCGGACCCACTCCACATCAGGAAAACCTGGTGTGTACCTCTCAGAGCTCTCAGAGCTCTGTGAGCAAATTGAGTCTTTTGCTGTGCACCCTCTACACATAGAGTCAAGAAAATGAAATATATATATGATTTTGTTCTCATAAGGATGCTGAAGTGCAAAGATAATATGGATATCCATTTTTGGAAATGCATGTAAAATAGCCATCATCATCACTCGAAAAGCTCTATGAGCTCATAGAGCTTTGTGTTTTTTTTTACTAATGAATGGTCTCCATGTCTCCATGGAATCTGCTGAGTTATCTTGGCACCAGTAGTGCAATGGTAATATGGATATATGTTTCTGTAAATGTGTGGAAAATAGCCATCCTCATCACTCCAAAGTGTCAGAGACCAGGGTCGAGACGAAGGAATGTCTCCATAACGGAGGGCTTCGGCCTCAGCGACTTCTGCCAAGAGCGCTGTGCCTAGTGACACGTCCATGCCCTAACTTACTGACTGGCAATTAGAACCTAGGGGGGGTAACTCTAGTTGATTTTTCTACTGGGGCATAACCTATGTACAAGTGGGATATATATATGGTTACAGCGGAGATGGTTCCGCAATTGGTGGAGCCGAACGGAGCGGAGCTAACGGGGTTTAACCATTAGCTGACTGAATATTACCGACGAGTCGGTTCACGGGGTTAGCGGAAAGGCAGGCGATAACCCAGAAACAGAAAGGAGGGATAAGCCCAAAGGTGGACTCTGCAGGGCAGGCGAGTGTATTGCCCAGCGGAGGCGGGGTGCGCTAGCGGACGTCGGAGCTGTCCGGAAGTCTTCGGGGCTCCGTACTTAGGGAGGCGTAGGTAATAAATTGAAATGAGGGGGTGGTGACCATCGAGGGGTACCGAGAGGATTGCGGAATAACGGGGGCTCCGAGGTTAGTGAGGGAGGAGCGGAGTTGGAACGGAGGGATCGGAGGGACCGGAAGTCGATGGCCGGGAATGGATATGACACAAAGGCTCCAAAGGCTCTATGAGCTCTATGATCTCAGCAGGCTCATAGACCTCATAGACCTTTTGTGTTTACTGATGTATCCATGGAATATGCTGAGATACAGCACTTTGTTTATTGCTATTTGTAAAATTTGAGGAAAACTCCAAAATTCAAAACTTTGCACTTTATCTTTCATCTCATTTCTTGCTCAAAACTCATCCAATTTTGACGATTCTATCTATGTGCATTGGAAAGCACTTAAGTGTGGCAATGTAACCATGCATTTTATGTAGGGTATAAATCAGTTTTGAAAAGTGTCCCAAAAAGAGTAAATTTAAAATACAGCCCAATAAAGCAAACAGAAAGCTGATGTATCCTTCAGATATCATCCATACATCCATACCAAGCCTTTTGAATTGTCAAAATTGGGTGAGTTTTGGGTGAGAAAGGAGATGAAATATATGGTGTAAATTTTTGGATTTTGGAGTTTGCCTTGAAATTTTCAGATAGCAAAAATTTTATGATAGAAAGGTGATTTCAATTTTTTTAAATTATTTCTAAATGTCCTGAAATTTCTCTCCCTAACATTCCCCAAGATTTCTGAATTTTCCCTAATTTTCCCTGATTTTTTAGAAAATTTCCTTTTCTCAATTTTTTTTGAAAGTCCCCCATTTCTCCCTGAATTTTCTGAAATTTCCTTAATTTTCCCTGACTTTTTTTCAAGTTTTTAGAAACCCCCCAGTTCCCCCTCATTTTCCTCCCATTTCCCCCTTCATCCCCCCCCTCAATTTCCCCCCCCCAATTCCCTCTGCAATTCTCCCCCCATCCCCCCTTCAATTTTCCCCTCATTCCCCCCCTAATTCCTCCTTAATTTTCTCCTCATTTCCCCCTCATTCTCCCCTCCAAATTTCACCCATTCCCCCCCTCATTTCCCCCCTCAATTACCCCCCATTTCCTCCCTCATTTCCCCCCTCATTTTCCCCCTCATTTTCCCCCTCATTCCCCCCCTCAATTCCCTCCTCAATTCCCCCCATCCCCTCTTCAATTGTCCCCTCATTCCCCCCCCCAATTCTTCCTTAATTTTCTCCTCATTTCCCCCTCATTCCCCCCTCCAAATTTCACCCCATTCCCCCCCTCATTCCCCCCAATTCCCCCCCATCCCCCCCTTCAATTTCCCCCTCAATTCCCCCCATTGCCCCCTCCAAATGTCACCCCATTCCCCCCCTCCATTTTCCCCTCATTTCCCCCTCATTCCCCCCTCATCCCCCCCTCCAAATTTCCCCATTTCCCCCCTCATTTTCCCCCCATTTCCCCCTTTAATTTCCCCTCATTCTGTTAGAATGTGCGGATTCGGACGACTCCAGAGTGGAATCGGAGACTTATCATGGAAGGACCTTGGCCTCAGCGACTCAGGTGGAGCGCTGTGCCATTGCTGGTTGTCCTGGGGGTCCCTAATTTCGGATCTAGCAGAGGGAAAGTCTCTTGGGGGAATTCAAGTCGATTTCGGACTGAGGTTACAAGTTACTATGTACATTGTATATAAGGAGGGGTCCGGAATCAAAAGGAGCGAGGGTAGGACGAAAGGAGACAAAGGGAGATGGAAAGGGGAACAACACCGAGGGTCAAGGGTTTGACTCAATGGTGTTTCTCAAAGGAGGAATGAAGGGCCAAGGCCCAAGGAGGAAGGAAGGAGGATGGGAGTCGGGAATGGCCAGCTGACTGAATAGAAAGGAAGCAGCAGCCCAAATAGGAATGAGGGAGTATAGCGGAATTGAATAGGACAATGCAATAGTTGCAAGTTCCGAGGTAAGTCCGGAAAGTCCGAACTCGGAAGTTAAACTCCGGAATATTGGCAAACATAATTAAATGGAATGAACTAACCAATACAATGGGTATAAGTGGAGGTGGGGTCAAAGTCTGAGGTCGGAGCTAAGACCGGAGGTTCCGGAGACAGAGATGCAAACGGGATTCCGGAGCGGAGGTCCGGAGTCGGGAGCATAGGTTTTGCATACTCGTCTGGGAGGTGTCGAGGTTGGGATCGGACCCGGAATGTTCCGGAGTCGGACCGAAGGTGGTGTTGGAGCCGGAGGTGGGATAACCTCTTGGAAGTCAGCAAGGAGAAGGTGATGGAAGGGAAGTAGAGCTCCAGAGTTCGTTTCGGGGTTCCGGGAGCCCGGAGCAGAGGTCGGGATTGTATGGATATGACACATTCCCCCTCCCAATTCCCCCCTCATCCCCCCCCAATTCCCCCCCATTCCCCCCCTCAATTTTCCCTCATTTCCCCCCCCTTTCCCCCCTATTCCCCCCTCATTTTCCCCCTCATTCTCCCCCTCATTTTCCCCCTCATTCTCCCCTCATTCTCCCCCTCATTCTCCCCCTCATTCTCCCCTCATTCTCCCCCTCATTCGCCCCCTCATTCTCCCCCCATTTTCCCCTAAGTAATTTCGGATTAACCCTATTTATAACCCTAAATTCAGTGTATATATCAATTGGGTTGTGTGCCCTTGGTGTGCAGTGCCACATGAGGGGTTGTGAGTTAGACTGTTGTCCAGTTAGGGACTTGACTGTGGCCAGTCACATGATACTGTAGTCAAGCTTTTTTATTTTTTTTTGAATTTTTGCGAATTAAACATGGGCTCAGGGTGCTCATAGAGCTAATAGTCCTCTGTGGGCAAATATATCTCTATGAGCTCTCAGAGCTTTGAGCTACTTTCCTGAGCTCTCAGAGAGGGGGACCTGCAATTTTCAAAGTTCATAGCTCTGTGAGCTCTGAGAGCTCTCATACCTCCTGGTTGGGTTTGCTGATGCACTTCCTGCATGTGCTTCCCGTGCCGCATGATCCATGTGCCGCATGCTCCAGTCCCCGGATCCTATCTTCTGGGTATCCCCGGAAGTTTTCGCCATATTGGGGCCACTGTGGGAATGTGAGAAGTTAACCTTCTTCTCACATTCTTACCCACAGTAGGTTGTGCCTTAGGATAGGCTGTTTACACACAGGGCTGTGGGCTATAGAGAGAGGGGTCATGGGGACCCGGGGTCCATCCCCTGACAACAAGTCACACTCAATGCTGTACTTCCTTGTCACTGCAATGTTCCTGAGGTTCCTGATTACTCTTGATGAGGACTTGCAATCCATTCTGGTGACTGCACAAGTCAGCCAGGTTAGTTTCACCATAGGCTGTTGATGTCATGGGTCAGGTGGGTAAACCCAGAACAATATCAGGTTTCCAGACTCTTCCCATTCTACACATGTCACCTGTTCTTGCTCATGGGTCTGAGTCCTGACAAACTGGGCAGGCTTCTCTATCAGTATGGATGCCCTGCTATGCAGCCAAGTCCTTCCAATCCAAATCCAAGCCAGCCAGCAGTATTGGGTAAAACCCAAATGAGATGTGAGTGTTATGACTTATCCACTTCCAGACAATTTTTTTTCAGTGCCTTCGGACTGCTATACTGCCTTCTGGGACCCTATCAATGGCACTTGCTTATGCCATCATGCCAGTTCACAGAACAACAATGAGAGCAGCACTCTTCTAGCATCTTGGGCAAGCGGGCTTCAAAGTTTCTCTGCAAGAAGTATTCCTTGTCCTTGTGTACTTGGCTGGCTTCCTTTCTTGGCCTATTAATTCTTCTTCCCAGCTCTCCGTCTCGGAAGACCTGCAATGTCAGAGCCTACTTCACATAGTAGCAATATTGACACTATCAATGTCTTAACATCCTGGCATCATCACACATGGGGGAACCCCTTCCAACATCTACCCACCTCCTTCACCTACAAACAACTTTCCGTCATACTTCCCTATGGATGTGGGGTATCTGGTAGCTTTGCCACAGGTGTTGAGGCTGGGATTGTGTCAGGGCCTGGCCCTCATTCCATGACGGACCCAGGGGGATCCTCCTAGTTGCTGGGGTATCTAGTCCCAGTCCAAGGTCCTCAAACTCACTGAGGGGGCTAGCCCCAGCCTTCACAGGAAATGAGTTGAGAAGAAGGGTAACCTCCTCATGAGGGTTGGCATCGCACATTGAGAACCTTCACCCCATGTGACCTATTTTCTGCCAGAATTATGGTGAGTGCCTTGATGTCTCAACACATGGCTCAAACTCTGTCTGATCTCTTTCTCACTGCCATTGACGATGGCACATGATCCCCAGAGGCCTAGGAGGCTGATTATTTTGAAGTTAGCTCCCTGTATTTGTGCCAATCAGCAACCATCATGTTACTACATCCCCGACTCCATTTCCTCTGATCTCCTGCACTCAATAGCTAGGAGTAGTTCCTTGACTTTCTCAGCTTTTCTTGGCATATGGCTTCTGAGAGGTCCAGAGGGTCCTGGAACATTTAACACAACTCCAGCTGTGCAAGGGTGGTTTTTGGGTTCCTCGCCCATTCTGCATCATCTGTCAACCTAACAGACTTCAATTCCTCAGCTTCCTTAGCATTCCTTATTTCTCTTTCTCTTTTCCTTCAGTTCTTTGCAGCCTTTACCATTGCAGCCTCTCCAAGTAATTTCTTACAGGCCAATTCCATGTTTGACTTTGCAAATGCTTTTTTTGAGATTGATACTTTTTCGCTTTCTGCTTTGCATTGATTAGTCCTTGTTTGGGTTCAGCTGTAGAATATGCCCCAACCCAATTGATTTCTTGTATTCCACCAAATGAGCCGTTGATGCCCTTTTCTGGTTGGACAAACAGCCTGTTATTTTGACCTGAATCTGCAATGAACACGTGCTAGACCAAGAATATTGTATCACTGCCCAATCTGGGTTGCACATGCATTTGAAGCAGCCAAAGGGCCTTACCTTGATGTGCAGATTTCAACTTGGCAACCTCCAGAGGTCCTGAGAGTCACCAAATTTTGCACCCAAATTTCTCTTCCATGTCATAGTCTCATTGTGTTGCATATGAATTAAAAGCTTATTCTATTGGCCTTACCTAGGTATCGGTAAAGGTAGTTTTCTAATTTAGCATCATCTTTCTTTTTTTTTTGGCTGATTGTCACTGATATCTCGGTAATGAAGCATATTTAAAGAAAAAAAGGTCTAAGGTGCACTAATATAGCTCACTAAGAACAACATTCCTTGTTTTATCACATGCTAGGTCCACTGTGTACTGTCATATCCATACAACTCCAGACCTCCACTCCTGATTCTGGACCTCCATCTCCTCCAGAACTCCACATCCTCCACCACCTCCTCCCCCTGTTGGTTGTTGAGAGCCCACTCTACCTCTGGCTCCAACACAATGTCCAACACTACCTCCAGTCGACTCTGGTCTACTCTGGTGTCAGGGCATACACCCTGACCTAGCCCATGCCCGCATCCACACCTGCACTTGCACCCGCACCCACACCTACACCTGGCTGTTGCACTTCCTGCATGCACCCTGTGCCGGATGCTCCATGTGGCCGGATGCCCCAGATGCCCCAGGTCTCGGGTCTCATGTGACTTCCGGATATCTCTGGAAGTTTTCGATATTGTGGCCACTGTGGGAAGATGAGAAGTTAACTTCCTTCTCATTTCTGACCCACAGTAGGCAAGTTGTATATACTTGCCTTTTGCTTTATTACCATCTCTGACCCACAGTAGGATTGTGCCCTGGATAGGGCTGGCTAGACTTGAGGCTGTGTGGGCCATAGGGGAGGGTCATGGGGACCTGGGAGTCATCCCCTGACATCTGGGTCTGATCCCAACCTTGTACCTTCCAGACCAGAGGTTGTGATGCTCCACACCTCTGGCTCTGGACTCCTGTACCGGAACCCCATTGCACCTCCACCTCCGGAACTCCGGTCACATCTCCACCCCTGGACTTTGACCTCCTCCTCTGTCTTATCTCCTTGTATTCCTTATTGCATTTCATTTATTATGTCTTGCCAATATTCCGGACTTAGACTTCCGACTCTGGGCCTCCAGAACTTACTCTGGACCCTGCAGTCTCTACTGTATGGTGTCATTTAATCCTCTTGTTGCTTCTTCCTTATTTAGATGGCTGCTTCCTTTCCATATTAGTGAGCTGTCATTCCCCACAACCCCTCCACTCCTTCCCCTCTTGGCCTTGTCCTTTTGGGAAGCACCATAGAGTTCCAACCCTTGACCCTTGGGGTTGTTCCCTAATCCAGTCCCCCTTTGTCTCCTTCCAGTTCCCTTTGTTCCCTTTGGGTTCTATTTGTCCTCTGACTCCACTCCTGTATTATTATATATACACTCTGTACATAGTTTCCTGTACCCCTAGCCTGAAATCGACAACGACTAGAGAACCAGAATCGACTGGGTTGTCCCCCAAGAGACTCCCCCTGCTAACCTGAAATTAAGGACCACCTTAGACAACAAACCAACAGCACAGCACTCCACCTGAGTCGCTGAGGCCAAGGTCCCTCCTTACTGAGTCCCTTCTCCGCTTCCAGACAATTATGCACTCTATAACATGTACAGAGGAGAATGTCCCACCACTGGGGAAACAGCTAGTGCAACCACAAAGCATGGGCAGTCACTTTTGTGATGCACAGATTTATCCTGGTAACAGCATGGGGCCTTCACAATGGCCTGTAGTTCTGTCATATCCACCCCCAGCCATTGACTTCCACTCCCTCCGATCCCTCTGGACTACCCCCGCTCCTTCTTCACTAACCTTGGAGCTCCTGTATTCCGCAATCACCTCGGTATCCCTCGATGGTCACCACCCCCTCTTTTCAATTTATTACCTATGCCTCCCTAAGTATGGAGCCCCAAAGGCTTCTGGACAGCTCCGACGTCCGCTAGCACACTCCCGCCTCTGCTGGGCAATTCACTCACTTGCCCTGCAAGCCCACCTTCAGGCCTATCTGTTACGGGGATGGGGGAAATTCCCCATTCCTCGATCCGTTCTTATAGTGGGATGAGTGAGGTCATATCTGGTCTGTACCATAACAGGATATGTAATCGATGAGTGATCCCAGTCTTGCCTGGGGGTGGACGATCGAGTTCCCATCGATCGCGATTGGTGATGTAGTGAGCTATTAAGGGATTGATGGTAGGTAGTCGGAGATGCCAGGATGGATGGGTCAGCCACGGGTACTTGGCGCTCCTCAATGGAGCGTACCGTGTGCGAGGTCGCGACTTGTGAGATGGGTGAGAACTTCATATAGTTGCCATCGGGTACTTGGCGTTCGCAGTGCAAATGTACCGGTAGCGGGTTGATATCATAAGCGTGCAATGAGGATTGACTAGCAGGGCCTTCGGTGACTTGGCGTTCCCAAAGGGAACGTACCGTTGGCGGGGAGACATGATGACTGGCGAAGGAGGGAACAGACGGTGGATGGGTGGTGACTTGGCGTTCGCGTAGCGAACGTGCCGGCATCACGGGAAGGTGGCCTCAAAGTATTCACGATCTCCATGATCGTGAGGTGACATTGTATGTTGAGTACTGGGGGGAGAGCGGAGTGATGAAGACCCATAGGGTACAGATTCAATAGGACGATACACATGTCGAGAGTCTTCGACTCTCGACCTCGAGTTCTCGCAGCGAGGGCCGTTAGAGGACTCGATATAACCAGACTTATAAGACATATTGGGAGTTGTACAGTCACACGGGTTCAGTTGAGTCACAGGGAGGGTTGTTACAGAAGACGGTACATGAGACAGTTGTAGAGCAGTTGTTAGTTAGCGGGAACCGCCTTCGGCGGTTTCCGTACAAGACGCGTGACTATCTACAAATGGTAAGGTCACGGGAAATCCCGCGAAACACAAACAACCTTGGCCAGCACCAAAACCCCAATGGGGAAAGCTTTGCACGAGGGGGGGAAAGGGGTAGAACGGGTAAGGAGGATGGAAGGGAGAAAGAGGGGAGGAGCGATAGAGAGGGGAAGTCTTTGACCATGTGACGGATATGGTTGTTGGAGACTCCGTATCCGTAACACTATCCCTCCTTTCTGTTTCTGGGTTATCGCCTGCCATTCTGCTAACCCCGTAACCTGACTTGTCGGTAATATTCAATCGGCTAATGTTTAACTCCATTAGCTCCACTCCACTCAGCCCTGCCATTTATGGGCCGGCCCTCATTGTAACTATATATATACTCAACTTGTACATAGGTTACACCTCAGTAATAAAATCGACTAGAGTTTACCCCCTGTTAGTTCTGGTTGCCAGTTAGTAAGTTAGGGCATGGACGTGTTACTTGGCACAGCGCTCCTGGCATAAGTCGCTGAGGCCGAAGCCCTCCACCACGGAGACATTCCTTCATCTCGATCTGGTCTCTGACAGATAAGGTCATCCAAGAGTTTGAGATCCTTGGCCCCGCCTTGCAGCTAGGAGATGTAGGACTAGTAGATGGCTTCAAACAGGCGATCAACTCCCAGCTCCAGGAAAGCATCTACTGCCTCTGCCCCATGCCGACAACCTGGGCTGAGTGGAAGCATGAGGCCACCCTCCTGGACAACCAGTGGCGACGCTTCCAGGCAACGCAGCCACACTTGCCCCCGTCAGGCCCCAACTCCCACCTGCAAGACCCCCACTCCCTACCACCTTCCTGCAAGCTCTCCCAGCCCCCACACTGCCATGCCCCTCACCCACCACTGCACCACCGCCTCCTGCAGCCTGCCCTGCAGTGGGGGAGGGCCACAAACCATGGACCTTGATCGCTCGAGGACAGACCAAAGACGAAACAGGCTTTGCTACAATTGCAATGCACTGGGGCACATCGTGCAAGACTGCCTGCAACCGAAAATCTGCCAAGCCAGACAGATGCACCCAGAGGACCTCAGGGCACTCATGGAGGGGCTGAGAAGGCAACTAGTGGATGAGCCAGAGACGGATAGAGGGGAAGGGCAGGAGGTAGAAGCCCAAGAGGATTTTCAGGACGGCGACCAGTGAGGGATGCGTCCTGGCTGCCTGCAGGCAATAGTACCAACTTGTGTAGATACCATGAGGCGCCTAAGTCAGCACCGATGTCTAAATTCCACCAAGTCATTGCCAAGAAAAAGAGGAAAACCGTGTCCTCAAGCAGAGAAATACCAAGTGCGGTGCTGGAGGTAGTGGTCCCACCACCCA